GTTTGCAATGATACCCGAATGCATCTGATGTAGGTACCAAACTGTCGAGAATAGATGTGGATGACGATGAACGTAGGAAATTCATTGCTTGAATCTTACGTAGTTCATCTAGTGCTAGATATTTGTAGAGAAGATAAGGAAAAATCAGTTTTTTCTCGTTTAAGAATTTTGATACTGTGCTATAGCTATATAGAATTGCGGCTTGTTTACTTTTTCACAAATTCCACTTAGCAAGTTTTATTTTGCTCTAATCCGATCTTTAGAAAGCTAATTTTCAGCTTCAAAAAAGTTCGAAGTTACACGTATTCAGTCAGTTTTTCGAATAACATATTGCTCGAACAGATCGGATTTAAACGGCGGAGACTAGATAGATTTTTACACTTTACGATTTTAATAGTCTGTCACGCATAGGAAAAAGGTTTGAAAGACTAAAGTTGTAGTTGTTTCATTTCCACAGTTTTTCATGACAGAGTCGAATGAGATTATAAGAACTCTTTATACAAAAATTCAAGTGTCTATAATCACCTCAGTTCTCATACATTTTCTTTCGAGAGAAGCTTACGACATTTAAAGCGATTATACTCACATTTTGCGTTATCGTTTACACAGTCAACTATCAATCTTTCTGCTGCTATCACACAAACATTCGGAACGGGTACTGTATTCATATTTTCTAAATCTATGTACTTGTATGGTTTTTTGAAATATGTCTTAAATATTGATTTTTTCGTAAGATTGCGAATGAAAGACGTGGTGTCGCAGCCCGTAAGAGCGTGTAAATTAATTATTAGTCTCGGATCAGAATGGTACAAATCATTGAAATTTTTTGCGATTAATGTACAATTTATTATTTTGGGATCTCGTTTACGTGATGTGCAACTATGGACATGTAATTTTACCGAATATTGAGATGCATATGCAATTGATAGTATGATAACGTCTGTATCTGTGGCACTTATGACTACTTTTTGAATATCTGGTTCTTGACAAATATCATGCAAATGCAGAAACATGCGTGTATCTGCTTCGATTTGATTCGAATTCAATAATGTATATGGTACGGTTGTATCCTTCACGATCATGAAAGCATCCGTGTCCGGACCGCCAATAACTAGTAATTTATCTCGAGGTATCTTGTGTGGCTGTGATAACCAGCAATCACGAACTGCAGCTGCCACTATGGCACGATTTCCGACAATTAACTTTTGAAATTGTTCACCAACTTCTAGTATAGAATTCTCATTTAAAATATATTCAGATCTCTTTATATTAGAACCATGACGTTCAATGAATGATTTAATAACCTTAGATCTTCCAGAATCAAAAACTACATCTATACGATTATAATCATTAAAATACTCTTTCGTCAAATAATCTAATAACTGTTCAGAATAATTCATAACTGTTTTTCTTGCTATTTTCGGAGGATGTTGCTGCAATAACATACCACCATCGATAATCAATACAGATTCATCTGCTTTTGATAGTACAATTGAT